AACAGAGACAATCGAGACAATAGAAGGTTGTTCCTCGACTCATTACCCCTTTGTAATTTAATTGTACATGCATCACACTTTTTTGTTACATCGTACGACGAATCACGTACATTGTACGTAATTTCTTTCGACAGATCTAGAAATGACCGAAGCGATCGAAGGGAACGGGACAGAGAAAGGAGGGAAGATAGAAACGAGAGAGATAGAAGGGAAGAACGAAGATTGGACGATCGAAACAGTATAAATTCTAGCAGTAACAACAATAATCATAACAACAATAATCATAACAGCAATGAAATTTCATCGTCAAACACCGGCAACGCTCCAAATTTGGGACAGACACAAATGGAACAGACGACAGGAGTTTGGGGTATGGGTGTAGGGTATCCAGTGATGGGAATGGGTCCAATGGGCCCAATGGGACCTATGATGAGCGAAATGACTCTCGGACCGCATATGGGACATACGCATAGCTACGGACCCATGAGCATGGGAATGATGTCGCACGACGGTAGTATGATAGGTGCGCAAATATTAGGACCGGAACAAATAATGAACGACGCTGCCCAAATTATGAGCAGCGCTTTGCCTCCTCCACCAACGACACCGCAGCAAGGCACCAAAGAAATCATACATTGCAAAAGTTGTACGCTGTTCCCACCAAATCCGAACGCTCCACCGCCAACAACCCGCGAGAGGCCTCCAGGATGCAGAACAATTTTTGTCGGAGGTATTTCCCGTTTGTACATCGCACATATTAAAATCGCACGCAAACCAGTCGTCGTAATTTGTTGTGTAATATCGTCGCACAGGTTTGCCGGAAAATATCACCGAGACAATTATTCAAGAAATATTCGAAAGGTGCGGAGAGATAACCACTTTGCGACTGTCTAAGAAAAACTTTTGTCACATACGTTTCGTACTGGAAAGTAGCGTCGATGCGGCGATTTATTTGTCCGGATACAGAGTTAGAATAGGATCCAGCGGCGATCCTGCAAACACAGGCAGGCTTCACGTGGATTTTGCTCAGGTTGGTACACGGTACGCAGTACCAAATATCGTTCGACGGTTCAAAAAATTAAACGAACATGGAATATGGTTCGGTCCGTTAAAGAATACTTTACTCGTACCGCGTTAAAAAATATAGGCCAGGGACGATCAATACGAGTGGGAGTGTAGACAGCGTCAACTACAGAGAGAACAACGCCACAGGGAAAGGGTTGAAAAAGAAAGGCAAAGGGCACCGTCCAGTCCTCCTCCAGTGGTGCATTACACGGACCACGAAGCATCGAATATTTGCGAGAAAATTAAGCAGGACGACACGTTTATGAAAGCAGTGCAAGTACGTGCAAGTACCGTTCGTCGTACAAAGTATCGTACGCGTTGTTGTCAAGCATTCCTGTAGACCGTAACTTTTGAATTCCAGAAAACGCGTTCCGTCACGTTACAAAACAAGCGCATTAAATCATTCCAGGTTGTTGTGACATGGCTCGAGCGTGGAGACTGTACCAAACGCAACGCAAACACTTTTTACTCGATGATCCAGTCGACGAATTCTCACGTTCGAAGATTGCTCACAGAGAAAGTCGCGTACGAAGAGGAACTTCAGAAAGCGAAAGAACTCATGAAAGGAAGGATGCAAGGGCTCTTGATACAATGTACGTTTATATAATCTACATATACGTTTATATATATATATATTTTTTTTTTTCTACAACACAGAGCTCTGTACTACCGTACATTATTTATGTACACAAGAGCAAATCTACGTACATATTGCTTTATCTGGTAAGTTCTTTTTACCATAAAGTTCGAAAGGGTTCTAAAATTCTTTGAGCATTCGATACGAGAAATGGCAAAATACGATTGGGTCAGAATTTCGCGTATCTCGCAATAACAAAAGTACGTACTTTTCGTACACTCGTGTCTATTAACGGCAAATTCTTGGCTACTTCGTGTCGGCTGGTCGAAGGCGTGTATTCGTTGCAACGAACGTAAAAACGTAACGCGTTACGATAATTAAAAAGAAAGGAAAGAAAAGTACGTCACTTTTGGTACGAAAGACTCTGGCATTTTTCCTCAAAGGTGAATAGACGAAACTGAATGAAATTTTCAACGTTGAAAATCGTTTGTATCGAAATCTCGGTTATGGAAAAATTGCATCTTTGTCACTGAGATCGGAACATCGGATACGTCGTAAGAAATTTATTATTGCAACGAGCGTATTGTGGTCGGGATGCACGATCGGGACAACTCGATCAAGAAGGACAGTATCAAACAAAGACAGTAGGAGAAAATAAGGTGGGTGAAGATATCCTGTCTTCCGATTCTAGGCTCTGACGATCGAGAACAAAAGAGCGCAAATACTACAAAAATTCGTTTTATAGAAATATAGTGTACCTAAAAATTGCATGCTCGCAATGCTAAGGATCAAGGGTGATGGGCTAAATATTCGTTGCGGAGACGACGTTACGCCACGATTCTCAACGACGATTTGTCGATCCAATTGTCCAAGTTTACAGTTTAGCGTATCGATGTGTATGTAACGAAACGAACAAACAAAGAAAACAAAACGTGGAATCGTAGCGTAAGATGGTCGTTTTAACGTTGGAAGCCTCCACGCGTGTTGCAAGTCGTTGGGAAAATAAGCGCAAATTTTCTCCGAAGAAAACACGCACTGATCGCGATCCATTGGCAGCTGAGTTGCAACATCTTCGAAAAGGATCGCCGATCGACGGTGAAAGCAGTTTTCGAAAATAACTCGTCCTCGAGCGACAGTAGGTAGTTTTCACGGCATTGTTGCTTAACCCGCTGCACAGGGAATTTCCTCGAAGGAAGGGAAACGAAAGGCGATAGGTATAACGTATATGATAAATGGATCATTGTTAAAATTAGAGAAGGAAACGTTCGAATCTGAATGATGTAGAGAAAAGTTGTCGGGAAGGGTAGTACTACTCGCGATCGACTCGCGATCGAACATTGCAAAGAATTGAATCGCAACATATTGAAAAGTGTATGTAAATTGTACGGTATCACGCGTGGTACGAGCACAGATGATTGTTTTTTCTTTTCTAACGAGAGTTACGTATTAGATCAACACGAACGTAGAGTTTAAAGCAGGGTATACAACAGAAGATTTGTTGTGTTTTTGTATGCAACATGCGACCGTGTCATCAACAGTCAGTCAGATTGAACGCGTCTTTACTGCGGCCAGCCACAAGAAGGTCTGGGATCACTTCACAAAGGCTCAACGGAAAAACATCGAAATGTGGAAGAAACAATCCTCGGTATGTATTTGCATTCCCACGTTAGTAGCCCGTGTCCAGTACGTTACTTTCTTTACGATTAGACGACGGTAATCATCGACAAAGTCTCACGAGTCTCAGAAAGCGCTTCTTTGTGCGAATGCACGTTCGTCCATAACGCCAGGCACACGCGCGTTTTGCAAACACATTTTTTCGCAAAAGGAAGGTAAGTAGCGATCAAAGCGTTTGGTCAGACGTACTCTCTGTACAACAAACGGTATACAATCGACGTTTAAACATTTGGAAATATTACGATGGAACGCGAAAGGTAAAAGAAAAGGAGAATAGCTTTCTTTCGTTCGAATTGGCCAGGTACCATCGACTGGAGTTTGAAAACAGGTAACAACGGAAAAACAATCGACAATTTTTAATCTGAAATATAATTTTACACCCTTTGTTAAAGCGGATTTCTCATCTCGTGCCAATACGCACGAAAAATACGAAGAAACCGAAGACGATAGACATTGTACACTCGACGTGAATTTATTTATTTTTATGTATTTCAAAGACAGGTATGCTTGGATCGTGACACACACACACACACAGGACATACACACACGTACGCGTAAAGGCATATCACGTATATCTTATTTGTTCGTCCGTTCATCTTTTACGTAAACTATTCTTTTTGTGAAATTTCCCTCGGAGACGAGCACCTTTCGGGTAATCTCTAAAAGCGTCAATT